TTTTTTAGATATCTCGAAAGAGAGTCAGAATTAATATCGAAAAAAAGTGAATTAAAATCAAAAAAAATCAAAGCACACAATTGGTCGGCTCAAGGCAAAGACATTTTTTTTGAGGCACTTAATGAATGTGGGAAAGATTTTGAAGCTATTCAAAAGTATTTTGCTGTCAAATCGAAGAAAAAAAATGGATCAGATTTAATAATGAAAACTAAAGAGCAAATTAGGCATTTTTACTACAGAACTTGGGCAAAGATTTCAAAACATTTAAAATTTCCACCTGGTAAGACTTTCTTAATTGTATAGAAAATTACTAATTTATTTTTATGAACTATTTTATTGAAAAATGTTTCAAATTTAATTCCTATAATGGTAAATAATAACTATAAATTTATTAAAAATATTCTGTAGATACTAAAAAGCAAACTCAAGAGTTATATGGATTAATCAATTATGGAGAATTTAGAAAAAAAATGGGGTGTGTTACTGAAAAAACTAGTCTAAAATTAAATGAACTCGTAATAACTGGATTCACTCATTTGAGAGTCAAGGGAAAAAATGTTCATATACGAACTCCTAGGTGCAGAACACTTAGAAGATTAAATCAGTTAGAAGGTAATGATAATAATGAATTTACTTCACTTTTTTTTATTATTATTTTTCAAAGTAAAAGATACATAAAATCTTTAATAAATCTTATTTTCGAGTAAATAATTATAAGTAATTCTCAATATGTTTAAATTTATTGATACTGAAATTTATTTGAACTAAACCTAATCTTTATTTTTCCTATTTAGTTGTTCCTTTAATATTTTTATCGTTTCAATGGATTAATATAATTTTATTATTTTTACAGAGTGTCAAGATGAAATTAAATTGCCGTCTAGAATTCTTGTAGAATTAGTACCCAGATGCAATGATTCTTGGGCTCGCGTTCAGTCTACTGCTCAAAACCCTTGCGTACAAATTTCTGTTCCTCTACAATATAGATTAATAAATTTAATTCAGTATTTTCAAAAAAAATGGTTGCCGCGACATTCAAAATATGTATCCTTTTATA